CCTGCCAGAACGTGTTTTCAGAATCGCGGTTAAATGCAAATGAAGAAGAGCAAGTATTTAAAGTTGAAGTTCTACTGACTTCGTTAGAGAGCCAGAGATTCTGACCAGCGAGCGTTGGCCTTTTAGGCGACACTCTATCTAAGCTACACTCATGTCCATAAATTAAGGATAATTCGGAGTCACGTGGAAATCGAACTCTAAAATAAATATATCACCTCTAAAATCACTACACACATCTTCAAGAATCATATGCAAATTTCAGGAAGTAACCAGATGACACCGATGGTACGTCACAATGACGAGAGTGATATATAAGGAATACAGACAAAGAAGTAAAATTGTTCGCAGGCGCTTTATAAGCATTTCAGTGCAATAACCGAATAGTTATGACACAAAGGACGCATTTGGATGAATTTGACGTGGTAGAATTATCGGCCGTCTGGAATGTGGGCGTACCCAACTGGAAGTATCAGACGAACTTGGAATTGCCCAGAGTGTCATCTCCACGCTTTGGCAACGATTCCAAGATAATGGTAATGTGAGTAGACGTTACAGCACAGGTCGCACCAGAGTTACAACGTCGAATGAGGACCGATATTTGGCAGTTACTGCCAAAAGAAACAGGCGGAGCACAGCCTCAAACCTGTCTCGTCAATTCTCTTCAGCCACTGGTACGACAATTTAAAGGCAGACCGTGTACAGACGCTTAGGGCAGATTGGTCTATATGCTCGTAGACCTGTCAGATGCGTTCCACTTACTGCAACTCACTGTCGCCTGCGGTTAGCCTGTAGTAGAGGGCATGCATTGTGGACACCGCAACAGTGGGCTTGTGTGATGTTTTCCGACGACTCCAGGTTTAGCTTGCAGTCTGATTCTCGCCGGACTTTCATATGGAGAGCTCCAGGTACCCGTTAACACCAAGAAAACATCACTGAACGACACCGTTACGGTGGTGCAGGGGTGCTCGTTTGGGGTGGAATTATTCTGAGTTCCACAACTGACCTACATGTTCAAATTGGAACCATGACAAGCCAAATCTATCGGGACGTCATTCTGGAACAACATGTACGTTTGTTTCGGGGCGCCATGGGCTCACAATTTGTGTTTAAGGATGACAACTCCCGTCCTCACCGTGGAAACATCGTAAGCAAATGCCTTCGATCGGAGGATATCACCCGTATGGACTGGCCAGCATTCTCACCGGACTTGAATCCAGTAGAGCACGTGTGGGACATACTTGGCCAACAAGTTGCAGCCCGTGAACCTCCTCCTACATGTCTACCGGAACTTCGGAGAGCATTGCTTTTTGACTGGTGTAATATCCCCCAAGATCAGATTGATAATTTGATACTCAGCATGCCTAGGCGTTGTACGGGCTGTATTGCATCGTCTGGGAGATATTCAATTTATTAACAATCATATCAACCATGTAATATTGGTTTTTTGTAAATAGGTTTTTTTTTTTTTTTTTTTTTTTTTTTTTTTTTGTAATTTGCTCCAGGGAGAAAAAATCGCTAATTCTTTTTTTGCTCTTTACCTTTTGTTTAATAAATAAGCTTTACAAATAAGTCAAATTTGTTTTGCTTCTAACTCTTCCTTTGCCTGATTTTGCATTATCCTTAATTTATGGACATGAGTGTATTTGTACGCTCAACCGTATTTCAGGTCCTTGATAGCTTCGCCGTTTAGTTAGAGTTAAGGAACTAACTCCTGTACAATTTTGATAGTTTAAACTATATCTTTTTAGTTAAATTTAATTAAGTTTTATTTCTTAGTATTCTTGAGTTCAAGCCCAAGTAGAGGCTTTTCTGTACGTCCTGAGAGAGGACCATCTGTTAAGTTTATTTTGAGCAATAACGGGTAATTAACCCTTCTTGAGTACCTGTTCTCTGTCTACTGAACTAAAGCGATTATTCACTTACCAGTTCTCAAAGTTCCACACATTTAGCTGTAAATTCTAGGTTGGAACATTACATACTTAAGCAATGAAAACTTACTTTGATTATAATAAGAGTTCATAGGGATCTTAAGTCCAACTAAAGATGTTTAATAATTTTGAATTCGTATTCTCTCAATTTGATTGTTACTATAAATAAGTATTCAATTTAATATAAAGTCAATTTATATGCACAATAATTTTACGCTTTTCTTTTTAATTTCACCATATTGTATTTATTATTTCAGCATCTCTACATTTGTTTTATCTTTCAACCCTCCTTAGAGTGATCCAACCTACCCGGAAAGAAGGTGTCGTTAATTTTGATATACTCAGAACCATATTTAGACTTGATAGCTATTTGAGATATCTGTTATAATCTGTAATAAGATATCCTTTATAAATCTGTTATAATATATTTTAATTCTATTTATACTATATTTTAATTTTTTTGGTGGTCCCCCAAGAAAGTGGGGGCCTTAAGCTATAGCTTGTGTATTCTATTTAACATATATGTCATGTATATTTTATTTAACGTAAATCCGGCCCTGGATATACTGATTATCAAAACAAAGTTATTTGCAAACTTGCAAAACAAAGTTATTCCTGGCAGCATATTATAAGACGAAAAAAATATAATGTAGCCATCTCAAAGTTGACTTACAATGCCATGCAACTGTTTGGTTTAATAGATATATGACTATGTCCAAAGCATAAAGACGGATTAAATACTTAGACTGAATGCTTTTAATGCAGCTAAAATATTAGTATTGCATTTTGCCGAGAGATGGCAGCACTAAAGATGTTTTCGTCGATTAAATTAGAAAATCCTGAATAGAAGATTATCGGGTAACCGTATTTCGCATGGATAATTCGCGTTTTCAATTCGCCTCTGTGAATAAAATTAATCACACATCATATTTTTTTTTTGGGGGGGGGGGGTTGGGTTGGGTAATGAGTACAAACTGCGTCAGTTGCAATGAAAAAAGATTTTCGAATAGGATATCAGAAACTGCAGATTTTGAAATTAAATATCCCGCTCAATTTTTCTCGCACAGGAATTAAGCTCCTTAAAATTTTATTTTTTCATAATGAGGTTCAAAATTTCTCAAATATAAGTAAAACTACTGGGAGATCATATTAAAAGCTGCATTTTACTATTTGTCGAAAATAAATTATTATTATTATTATTTTAAATTTCACATGGTCAAAATATTTTAGCCCTTCCAAACACTCCTATAACTATATAATTAATTAATTGAAATAGAAATTGAAAAGCTAATAAGTAATGTGTTAAAGACCTATTTGGTCCGAATTATATATATAATTAATTATTTGTTTTTTTTTTAAATATCAATTATTTTCTGTAATCATAAATTCAGTTACCATAATCATAAATTTTCTGAAACATCAAAAATTATATTTTTCATACTTTACAAAAAGAACTGCTTTAAGCCCGTAACGCAGTTCAAGGTCACTCGTAAAAAAAAAAAAATGATGTGTACAACGACATGACGTCCTTGTACGGAATATTAAAATATACGCATTTCTTCCTGCATTTCATTTAAACTTATTTCCTCGAATTTCATTAGAGATAAATTTCTCATTCAATTAATTCCGTTCTCAGTTCGCGGCAAGGCAAAAATACATAAAACCTCAAAACATCTTCATTAACAAGTGAAAAATACAGAAAAAATAAAACACCAAATACTGTTAAAAACGATTAAAAAAATTACAATTAATATTAGAGTTTCTATGCAAAAACAAGCACTTCGGCCAGCAGGCATCAAAGATGTTTCGGGTGCACAAAAGTGAAAGTTTAATTTTAGTCCCACTCGGCAAAAAGACACTGAAGATGCAGAAAATGAATTCACTATTCAGCTGTTCCAAATGTAAACAAATATGGCTGCTATGTTAAACAAAAATTAGCTTAGCCGCACTTAAACAACTTTCAAATTGTTGATAATTCCACAACTATTGCATGCAGATTAAGTAAAGGCATACAAACCTTAACGGGAAGATAAGAACATAATTCAATAATTTTTTAAGCAAAAAAATTGTGCAATTTACCAACATATACGAATAAAAAAAATGAGCTCACTGAGCCGAGAAACAGAGTGGATGTATATATATATATATATGTAAAGAAAAATAAAGAATATGTAAAAGATTAAATTAGCAGCGTAAATTAATTTCCCTTCTCTATTCTAAAAATAGCAACATCTATTTGCACTGCGTCACTTCGAGAAAAATCTATGTCATATGATTCTTACGTAATTATGATGATATAAATGGAACTAAAACTCAACCAGCCAATAATAATTTTACAGCAATATTAACTATCCAATCAAAATGCTCTGAGAACCAAAACTAACTCAGTCTGACTTGAGATTTCATTCTGAAAATTACGCATTTGCTTTCCAAGCTTTGGCTTAGCTACACTACTGTCTGTCTGCTGCTGCTTCTTTCTACAAATTGATCAAAAATGTAAGCCTTTTGGAACAGGCACATTTAATGTGGCGACTTGTGTGTAACCGCAAAATGTTGCTGAAAATATAATGGAAGATTTAATCTGCCTTCCCTCCAATTTTTAGTTATTATTCTGCTCGTCATTACTTCTACGTTTGTCCTTGCTCCTGAATTTATCACATACATATAGTTTTGGTGCAGCCGATTGCGACCAAAAAGGGAGGTGCACAACTACATGTTAAAGTATTCCTATATACAAAATTTCAACGTTCTGAGGCTACTCGTTATGCGAGATACATAACGTACGTACGTACGTACGTACAGACGCCACGAAAAAAAAGTCTTTTCTGAATCCATTTTAAATCAGTTTTATAATTAGTTTGGGGAAAAAGAGTCCTTTACTCTGTCCTTGCGTTCAGATGTCACGCAAAGACATCGTTAAATTGCATTTGATAGCGGTCAAAACGGATATTTTCGTTGAAATATGGTACCCGGAATTTTTCGTGATTACAATACTTATTTTACTACAAGGAAGTAAAAACTTATGGTAAAAATGTGCAACCTTACAACAATTAATATCATATACATACTTACATCACCAAACAGGCTTCCTTTCTTTCAGGGCTTGAAGTAGGAATCCGACAGTGAAGTTCTGAAAAATGATGAAAGACGTATTAAAAGGCATTCTTGCTACCAAGTAATTTCAGGCACTATTTCAAATGCAAGCATCATTTAAATTAATCGATGATAATTGATATCAAAGAAGACGTATGTCTATTTTAACTTTTTTCTGTTCGCTTACCCCTGAATTTCAACTCATTTAACCCCTTAACTGCCGCGGGCGTATATATACGCCTTGCTCAGCCGATGCGTTAACTGCCCCAGGCGTATATATACGTCCTTCCAAACTGCTATCATTTGCTTTGCACTGCTACACCTAAAATTATTCGCAAAGTTAACGCATCGGCTGCGCATCTGGGCGCATCTGGGGCAGTTAACGTATCGGCTGAGCAAGGCGTATATATACGCCCGCGGCAGTTAAGGGGTTAATCACTGTCAAATATTTCCATTTGCCCATTGCTGATGAATAAACCATTCGAGGTAAATAGTTTCAAAGAAAAAAAAAAAAAAAAAAAAAAAAAAAAAAAAAACTAGGCAGCCAACTGGAAATTAAAATAAATTTTGAACCAAAAACAAAACTCGTGCGGTAAATAGTGATTGCATATATTATGTAACACAGGGTTCAAGGTCAAAATCTTTACCAAAGTTGGAGATTAAATCAGCTGCGGGTGGTCCTTTCAGTTTATTTAATTTGTTCTGAATTTTGTTTTAACCAGGAGGAAAAAAGAAAAAAAGAAAGGTCACTTCCTATTAAATATAAATTAAATTCTAAGACATCTACAGACTTCTAAATGGATCTGCTTTGCGAAAATTACAAAAAAAACATTTCCACAATGATTGACGTAAATCTATGCAGTTCTTTCAGCTGTCGAAATCACAACGGATTATCGGTGTGATATACAGTGGATGGACAAAAATATGGAAACACCTCGTGAAATACATGTTTGAAAAGAAAGATTGATTTTAATGAAATATGTAGGTGGCGCTGGCGTTTTTGACTACTGACGCCACCTATACAACTTCGTAAATGTGCTAAACAGTTCAGTTGTTGTCGGAGTACTGTTATGTGAGGTTGTCATTGCATTATGTCAGAGTTAACAGACTTCGAACGTGGGCAAATTGTTGGAGCACGTATGGTAGGTGCTTCCGTAAGCAAGGTAGCCGAGGTGTTTAGTGTTTCAAGAGGTACTGTATCGAAGATTTATTCCGCATATTTGGAAAGCGGAAAAACATCATCTGCTAAATCACAGCGCGGACGAAAGTGCGTCCTGAGTGATCGTGACAGACGATCATTAAGGGCAATTGTGACGAAAAATAAGAAGGCCACAGCTGCAAAAGTTACTGCTGAAATGAATGTTGTGTTACCGAACCCTGCGAGTACCAAAACAATTAGAAGGGAGCTTCATAAACAGGGAATTGCTGGCCGTTCTGCAATCGAGAAGCCACTCATCAGTGATGCTAATGCCCGTAACAGGAAAAGGTGGTGTTTAAGTCATAAAGCCTGGACTATAGAGCAGTGGAAGCGAGTAATATGGTCTGACGAGTCTTCTTTCACATTGTTTCCCGCTTCTGGCCGAGTTTACGTCTGGAGAACGCCATCTCAAGCCTATAATACAGACTGCTTGTTCCCAAAAGTGAAACATGGCGGGGGTTCTGTTATGGTTTGGGCAGCCATATCGTCGTTCTCTGCTAGCCCCATGATAACTGTGTCAGGGCACATGACTACCAAGACTTATGTGAACATTTTGGCCGATCAAGTTCATCCCATGGTACAAACTTTGTTCCCCGATGGTGATGGTGTCTTCCAAGACGACAAAGCCCCTGTTCACACAGCTCACATGGTCCAGGACCGGTTTTCTGAGCACGAGGATGAGTTGTCTCATCTCCCCTGGCCACCACAGTCACCAGACCTGAATATTATCGAACATTTGTGGTCTACATTGGAACGGAAAGTGCGTTCTCGTTATCCCCGCCAACATCGTTATCTGAACTTGCCACCGTTTTGCAGGAAGAATGGTATAATATTCCGTTGGCAAACATACAGGAACTGTATTAATCCATTCCGAGAAGACTGCAAGTTGTTTTGGATGCCAACGGGTTTCCTACACCATATTAAGCAAAGAAACATGTTTTTTTAAAGGTGTTTCCATATTTTTGTCCAACCCCTGTATAATTGCGTTGGTATGGGTTTGTACTATAATCAATGCAAACAGAATCGTCCACGGCTACTTGTTCTTGAGTTATGCGAGATACATACATACGTACGTACGTACACATGGTCAAGCAAAAACGTCTTCTGAATCCATTTTAAATCCAATTTACAATCTTTTTGACAAAAGCAGTCGTTTATTCTGTCCGTACGTACAGAAGTCATGCAAAAATAACCTTCAAATGGTTTCGAAAAAAGTTGAAATGGATATTTTCCCTGAAATACGATACCCTAAATTTTTCGCAGATGCAATACTTCTTTTACTTCGTACAAGGAGGTAAAAATGAGATGAGGAAGGATGACATGTTGAAACAGTATATTAGATACCAAAAATATAGCCACCATAATTGTAAGTGGATAAATTTACACACTCTTTTGCTTAATTTGATATTTCAAAAAATTACGTAGTAATATGAAATATACTACTGACTGTAAATAATTTTAGCAGCATTTCAGGTGCTAACAATTTCCTTTTGTTAGATCTACGTATAATAACAGTTTGAAATGCGTATGAGCTACAACAGCAGATATTCCCGTAGTTTTAAAAATTTATATAAGATACATAAAATATTACCGTAGTGACAGAGAAATTTTAGTGAAAGTGAAGCTATTTGAGCTGTTACATTTACATCGTAACCGGAAATAATGGAGTATTTAAACTTTGAACTTTACTACCTCATAAAGGTCAAATTTGTTATGAAGCCGAAAGTCATAAGAAAATGAAGACCTCACACTTAGAGCCAATTTGCTCTCGAGGAATCACGATTTGCCAGAAGAGCTAACATAATTTTTAGCTATTTGTATGCACACCATGTTACAGTTAATTGCAGAAGCAAATTTCATGCTCTGATCTTAAAGCTCAGTTTATTCTGCTTCATTCTGTGAGGCATTTTTTAACCGAAAGGGCGTTAGCCCAGAAGAATTACTAATTTCGTTTTGGCATTTTACGTTGGTTCACTGTAAAAGGCTGAACGTCTCTAATATAACCATGAATCCTTCCAGAATTGTATAACTGTAACTGCACAAGATCGAAATGCATAAATTCGTACAATGTACTAAATGTAGTGTATGCATCGTAATATACAGGGTGATCAAAAAGTCAGTATAAATTTGAAAACTTAATAAATCACGGAATATTGTAGATACAGAGGTAAAAATTGACACACATACTTAGAATGACATGGGGTTTTATTAGAAAAGCAATAATTAGCATAACAAATTAAGACAAAGCAAAGATGATGTTTCTTTACAGGAAATGCTCAATATATTCACCACCATTCCTCAACAATAGCTGTAGTCGAGGAATAATGTTGTGAACAGCACTGTAAAGCATGTCCGGAGTTATGGTAAAGCATTGGCGTCGGATGTTGTCTTTCAGAATCCCTAGAGATGTCGGTCGATCACGATACACTTGCGACTTCAGGTAACCCCAAAGCCAATAATCGCACAGACTGAGGTCTGGGGACCTGGGAGGCCAAGCATGGCGAAAGTGGCGGCTGAGCACACGATCATCACCAAACGACGCGCGCAAGAGTTCATTCACGCGTCTAGCAATATGGGGTGGAGCGCCATCCTGCATAAAATCATACATTTTTTAAACTTTTTTTTTGGTTCTAATAAAACCCATTGTCATTCTAAGTATGTGTGTCAATTTTTACCTCTCTATCTACATTATTCCGTGATTTATTAAGTTTTCAAATTTATACTGACTTTTTGATCACCCGGTATGTAAATAATGTAATGCAAGTCTCTAATGAAGTAATGTATGTTCCTAATGTATTTATCCAATGTATTGTATGTCTCTAATGTAACCATGAATCCTTCCAGAATTGTATAACTGTAATTATCCCAAATCGAAATATATAATATCCGTACAATGCACCAATGTAGTGTATGCAACGAAATATGTAAATCATGCAACAGAAGCCCCTAATGAAAGTATGTACATTATGTATTATGGGTACTGAGCATATTTCCGCATAGCGCTTCTGCTTTACGCACACCTTACTATGTCTCATATGTTTCTTCTGTGTGCAATATTTACATTTATGTGCTCTACGTGTTTCCATATGTATTTTATGTGTCATGTTATGTATTCTCGTGTGTGTTTTTATGTCTTTATCTTACGTAATAACGAGTGTGTTTTTATTCTTTTACGTTTAATTTTGTATATCTATGTGTTTCAGCTTATATGTGTGTTTTAGTGTTTTAATGCTATCCTTTATATTCTTTTTAAGTTACTTTGTGTTATTAACAACGTCCTATGTAAAATCTACTTGACATCTATCCCCTATATGGCCATGTACACTCCCGGTGCAGTCTCACGGGGCTCCACCGAGTTGCTTCTTCGAGATAGTGGAGGACGTGGGACATATGCCTGCTTACCTATGTTATACGCCAGGCGTCCCCGTCCTCCGTCACCTGTCACCTGTAAAAGTCTGAATCACTTTTCAAATTGTTTCCACCAAATATTAGAGCCTTGCATTATATTTGAAGAAATTAATATCTCGAATTAATATCCCCCACCCGAATATGGGGATCTTGGAGCCCAAATTCGAAATCTGGAATTTTTTTTATTAGCTATTTCATATTTTGTAAAACTTTAACGAATTTTTGATTAACAAACTCAACGATTTCAAAGCATTCCATCGCGGGCAGCTTCAAGCACAGATATTTTATGCACGAAGTTTCTTTACATTCCTTACTAGCATTATGTTGGTAGAGTAGCAACGAGAAGACATTACAGTGTCCAACGGTATTTTGCTTTGAATTACTTTGAATGTCTGTATCAATCACTTTTCAAATCGCGTTTTGAATAACCCG